CTTGAAAATATGGGAGCCATGGTTGCAATATGCCTTTCCCACGCTCCCCCCGGCTAGTCTGTGGTTGGGATGTTGCGCAGTATTGGCGTTCTCGGACCCTGCTCTTGGTCTTGTCATCTTTTTCCTTTTGTACTCCTCCTTCCTTTTCTTTTTTTGTTTGTTTTTGGTGTGGGCAGTGGATAGCTGCCTTTGGTTTGAGTTAGTTGTTATACCACTGTTTTTGTCATTTATGTGCCATTGCTAGCCCCTGCGTGGGCGCATCTTTTCTGTTGGTGTTAGAGCACTGTTTTCTTTATTTTTTTATGTGCAATTGATGGCCCCTGCGTGGGCGTGTTTTGTTGCTCCTGTCTTCTTAAACTGTTTATAAATTAATAAAAACATTGAAGCACAAAAGTGGTACTGCAGTCAAACTGCCAAATAGGCAGTGGCCAAAATGTTCATAATGCAGTTCAGTCTTGTGATCCGAACACCCTTGCCATAGAACTTGGCTAGCTAGATTGACGCTTCCTGTGTCATCTGCCCGCTAACTGGACTATGCAGGATCATCATTACAGGCTCATCACTGCTACTATTCTTCTATCTTGTGACTTCCTCCTCCTTGTGCCAGTGCTTGAAACTTAGACTAACAGCAATGATACAGTCTGAGTGGACCAAACCCCAGGATTTCCTACCAAGATAAGCTGTCATGCATTTTGCCAGTATATCTACTCCTACTGATTTACTATACATAACTTGACTAGAGATTGCATATTACATATTTTCCTGGAGCCCTCGGGAATACCTGGCACTTCCTAGAGGTCTTCTCCCCATACTTACCAGGATGTAGTTCTCAGGCCCAGGCTGCAACACTGTCACATGGAGAGCATGAACCATGTGTAAGCCCTGACAGGGGAGCACAGGGAATGTGTATAGTAGTAGGTGGGACTGGTTAGCTATAAACAGTCCCTTTACCCTGAACGGACAATTTAATAGATTAACAGTAGAAGATGTGGAACATTTTAATCAGAAAACAAGCTGTTCCCCCCATACTCAGTAGGCAGCACATAATTAGACCTTAGACTCTATGTACAGTGCTGGGAGAGAGGGAGCAACCGAAGAATAAGACATCCAGGAAAGATCGACTTACGACTGAAACCCAGTAAGGAGCTAAAACACATCAACCTTGCTGTGTCTTGGATTCCCCTTTGTCTTAAGGGAACGAAATAAAGATTCTATGGATTTTATTTGAAGCAGTAGTGTGTTGCTGGACCTTTATGCTTTCTACATCACTGGATGGTATGTGCAGCAGTGGTCCTGGCACAGGAAACTTGCTTTATCCAGCAATCTGTATTTACAACTTAGGTTCACATCTTTTCAATTTCGAGATCTAGGAAAGCCCTGAAAGCTGTAGTCCGACACCAGTATGCAATGATGAGAAAGTTTAAAGTTGAACTACAGACAAACAAATAAATGCTGTGAAAAATACACACAAAGGTGCTGTTTTACCTGCCAAAAGATTTGTATTTCCACCAATCCATTTCTGAGAGTTAGGGCTCATGTACATGGGGCGTTGGAAAACTCTCCTGAACGATGGAAACTGACTGCTGGAAAACGTAGGTTAAACATTTAGATGTGTTTGCATACTGCGTTTATGTGCATTTGCGTTTAGAAGCATTTTTAAAGATAACCTAAGGAGACCCTCCCAAATGCCCAGAATGTACTGAAAAATAATAATTAACTATTTCAGACATTTTGAGAGAAATAGAGAGAGCAGAAGCAGAGAGAGCAGTATGTGTTGAGATGACCTGTCTTTTCTGGTTGTATTCACTATGGATCCCATCATGAACATAATGCGGCACGTTCTACCATTTTTTCCTTCACGCGAAACCTGGCACTGACTGTGCTGGTGTGCCGGGTCCATTTGAATACATGGAAAACGCTTTGTATGCATTTCTGATTATGAAAAAAGGCTCTGGCCAGCATCTGGATATGGAACAGTTAAAAACTGCTTCTAAACGCGGTTAGCCACGTTTGGAATACCAGTAAAATCTACTCCTGAACGCAAGTTAGGTGCGTTAAAAAAAACGACTGTAAACTCAACTGCCTGTAAATGACTGTGCGCATGGACACATAGGAAACCGTTAGGGAGAGTCAAGGGGCTGCTGAAAAAAATGCTGAAAACTGCTCCTGAACGTCAGTTTAGCAGCTGCATTGTACATGAGCCCTTACACAGCTCTATAACACAGCACAGCCCTCTGTGGCAAGGCAGGAGACTGGAGTTATTTCTTCTGCAGTTCAGTAACACAAGTTTTGTTCTTACGCCCGTGTATGACTGGCATGAAACCATTGGTCCCTTGTGGTGCTTCTCCCTCTACCAGACTAAATTCTGCTGTACAGAGATTGCAAGTGTCTAATACCAATTTATAATCAGGTACTTACACTGGCATTAAAAAATAAATTTAAGGCTGTATTAATGAACAGAGGTTGCATTCATTTGTGTCTGATATCTGCCTGAAGTCCAGCTTTAATCTGAGCATTAGAGACAATTATAGAAGCTTGAAAAAAAAATGTATTTTTTTAATAACAAGACTCAAAATGGCAATTATAAACTTTTGATCAATTTAAACAAAACTAGAGCTATATTTAAAAGATCCTGCTAAACAGTTGAAAGCCAGAAGGAGGAAAAAGTGGGAGAACTTGTAACAACTTCTAAAAGTGTGCTGTTCAGCATCGGTCTCCACATGTGCTCTCTAAAGACCAAAAAAAACTGGAAATTATGGGTAGGCTCAGAGGAAGAAGGGTAGTAACAAAACACTCACAAATTGGTTTATGTACATACAATGCTTGATTTGGATTTAAAGTCCTCCAGGGAATTAGGAAGGACTGAAACAGAAACTATCCAGATGGTTAATACCTGTCATAGTCAAAACTTCCATACAGCGCTGAAGGCTGTCATTTTTTACTCCAAGAAGAAATGCTGGTTCCAGGGAAGCCCCAGGAACAGCCACCCACCTGCCATGGAAGCAGTACCACTCCCAGAATATGGGGGAAAAGCATTGGATGACAAGCTTTGGATAATCTGACAACTTCCCTTTAAAAAGCTAGCAGTATCAGTAGGTAGAGTGGGTGCCTGGTAGACTAAGAAATAAACCTTGGTTTTTGCCAGTCTTGCATTAAAGAGACACTATTCAGGGCAGTGCCTTCTAATAAAGTGCCCTTCTCCCTCCATGCCCACCCCACACACAACAAGCAAGGTATGTCCTAGCAATCCACATGCTCTCCACCTCCTTCTGAAGTCCACCTTGGGCAAGCTTCCTGCGTTGTTTTCTCACCTGGGTGGATGACATTATCACTCCTTCATGTGAGTGTTCAGGCCTTGCTCCATTAGAAATGAGGGAGAATACAGCAGTAAGGCAGGACATACATGAAGCGATTATCGTTCCTGCAACCAAGGATAATGGGGGAATCCCTTTTGTGGAGCTATTGTGGTCTCCTGGCAGGGGGGTGGGGGGAGCTGCCCCCCACCAGGAGAACAGTGATTAATGCTAACGGCTATAACAGCGCTAGCAATACATTGCATGTAAAATCTGACATGCTGGTTGTACCAAAACCACCCTTAGATGGTTCAGATCTTGGCCAGTCCCTGCTGAACCAGCAGAGATTCGAACCATCAATGGCCAACTCAAATATATCTTACTGGGAGGTGCTTTATCCAGTTACCCGTCGCCCCACAGCAGATGTACAGCTACACGGTGGCATCGCTGGGCAAAAATCACTTAAATATAGGTGATTTTGCATTTCCGAGTAGCGGGTGCGCACGCCGTCCTACCTGCGCTGTTTTTGGCTCCTGAGAATGTCAATTACGGGTCTCGGCAGGCTATTTTCAGCCGGGAGTCAGTGATCGTCGGCAAAGCTGACAGGGGAGAGACCTGTGTGTAAACACAGCTCTCTCTCCTGTCAGCATGGACACGCTGCTTTCTATATCTCTTCACAGAGAGGCAGAAATATAGAAAGCAACAGGTCTGCTTAGTAGAATACAACACAGTACATAAAAAAAAAATAAAACATATCACTCCCTAACACACAGTTAACCCTTTGATCATCCCAGATGTTAACTCCTTCCTGCCCAGCATCATTAGTAGTGTCAGTGCTTTTTATTAGCGCCGATCACTGTATTAGTGTCACTGGAGATGTCAGTGGCAGTTCGTTCCCCCCAGTGTCAGATTGTCTGCCGCAGTCCCACTATAAGTCCCTGATCGCCGCCATTACTAGTATTAAAAAAAAAAATTTCCAGTATATATACCGCCATTTGTAGACGCTATAACATTCACGTAAACCAATTAATATACACTTATATGTTTTTATAGCAAAAAGTGAAAACTTTTTTTTTTTTTTTTTTTTTTAAATTGTCAGTCTTTATGTTTATAGTATAAAAAATAAAAAACCGCAGAGGTGATCAAATACCACCAAAAGAAAGCTCTATTTGTGGGGAAAAAAATAAAAAATTAAATTTATGTACAGCATTGCAAGACCGCGCAATTGTCATTAAAAGTAACAGCGCCGTATTGCTAAAAAAAAAAAAAAAAAAAAAAAGCCTGGTCAGGAAGGGGGGTAAATCTTCTGGAGGGCAAGTGGTTAAGAAGGCAATTTCACTTTTTTGCTACATAATCAAATGACAACATCTATTTAATGACAAGGTCTATGGGAGCTGCCATTAGCTTGCATTCAAAAGTGTGGAATTAGGGCTCATCATCCTTTCCCTTGCCTCCCCACTCTGTATCATTATGCACCCAAAAAAATGCACCCAAAGAAATCCAAGTATATCCTCCTCTCCTACATGCTTGTTCCAATGAAGACATGAAGCAAGCAACAGAACACTGCCCTGGAGCTGGCATCTTTATAAGAAAAAAAAATAAAAATTAAACATTAGGTCCCACATGTTTAACCTCAAAGGTTCTCTTTAAAAAACAGAATGATATTAACAAAGAAAAGTAAAGTACAAAAACAAAAGTCCATTGTCATCAAACTTCCTCTGCAATATCTGTGTGCGGTGGGATGGAATCAAGTTTGTCTTTACTCTCTACTGCTTTCAAATATGTGTCCACCATTAAATCCAAGTCATGTTTTGTGTCATAGTTTACGTTTAGAAAGGCCAGGTGGCTTGAACGCTGTTCTCTTGGCGTTTTCTCTATGTAGAAACTCAAACGGTTTCTGCTTGGTTCACACTTGCTTTCCATTGTGATGATGGGCAGAACACTTAAAATTTTCAGGACAGCTTGAACGTTTGGGAAAAACTTTATATCAGGCAACTGAAGGGACTCAAAGATGTTGGCAGGAAGTTCAACATCTTTGCCTCGATGTTTCCATTTGACTCGCCAACAGTGAAGTTCCGCGGAAAGGGTGTCTGGGTTGGGAAGGTCACTTTTGTACTTATCAGCATTGTGTTCCTCGCTGGTGCTGAATTTCAGTTGGCTCATCACAGCGGGAACCAACGATAAACATTTAAGGGCCTTAATGTGTTGTTCTGAAAAAATGTCCTTCAACCCCTGAATGATATGCTGGATTGTGGGTATGCTAAGAGCATCTTTGTAAAAGTTTTCAGAAATCAGGTCATGCTGCAAGTTGGCTGTGCTGCATTCTCGGAATTGGCCTGGGAGTTTTACTGGGATATGTAGTTTGCCAGACAGATTAGTGGCCTCCTCAAACCAGAACTCATGGTAAACTTCGATGTTGTCCAACACCTCATTCAAAGCGTGCAACACCGCTGTTAGGCTGTTGGCGGCAGAGAACACATAAGACGCTGTGCCCTGCAAGTTCTTTCCAAAAGCCCGAGTGAAAGAGAGAGCATTTTTCAAAATCACAACAGTAACCACAAAATCAAAATCAGTCAAGGCACTTGAGAGGATAAATGCATGGCTGCTGATCTTGGCATCCCACCGACAGCTGCTATCACAAGCTATTTTGTCCAAGCAGACAATCAGCGAATGAAGGAGTGTCACTATAATCTCAAAAGCATCGTGTCTGCTTGCCCAGTCTGAATTTAAGACCTCCATAAGTTCAGAACCCTTTTCTATATTGTCCTGAAAAAGTGAAGTGATAGTATTTTTCATCTCCTCCTGCAGTTGAGAAGAGCTGTTGAAAAAGAAACAAATATCATCCAAGATGCCCAGTACTACAGATACTCCAGGGACGGGTGTGGATTTTGACAGCCAGAAATTCAAGGCACAAGAAGAACTAAGAGTATAAGTGGCTTGTGGGGTACTTCTGTAGCAACCGTGAAGTAACGACTTTCATTTTAGCAGAATATTTGCGGGAAGCGTTGCAAGACAGTCCACGACAGTATTCCATATTCAAGCCCCATTTCTCTGTAAGAGTTAAAAGGAAGTTGATAGCCAAGACCTCAGGATCCGCAACGCAAGGGAGGAACCCAATAAACTCTTCTCGTAGGTTGTACGTGTTATCAGTATGTCTTATGAAAACAGGAATTTGTTCCTCTCCTGCTAAATCCACAGCATCTTCACACATTATGGAGAAGAACTGGGAGTTCCATACTTCACGAAGCACTTCTTCCCTTATGCAACTCTCACATACTTCCAAGATCTGCTCTTGCTGGAGTCGAGAACAGTATTCCTGGTTTACAGCAAGCATTTCAAATCGCCTTCTGAGGACGTCATCCCCAGAATTTATACGGTACTCAAGAAGAGCCTGGAAGTTGTCAGGGGTAAAAATCCCTTCGGGAACTTTGCAGTTTCGACCCTCCAAAGATACGTTCTGCTTGCCCATGAGCAACACAGTCTCAAACAACGATCTGATGTAGTCTTTGTGCTCTTTTTCCTCTGTCGTCAGTGCCATGTTGTCATCATTCTGGTCTATTTCCACAATTTCTACGTCCACGTCATTGTTGTTTGTTTGATGGTTGTCTTGTTCAGGCACAACTGCATCCACTAGAAATTTGAAAAACAAAAATTAGTGTTTCAAAGTTTACTTCAATTTAATGTACTGTGTGGTCTTAAGAGTAATATTTTCCCCTCACAAGTGGAAGGCAAGTCAAAACCTAACTAAGTTTATTCACAATCAAAAAGCCAGCAACTTGGTGGACTTCTCATTGCAAAATCTTTACTTGGTACTGGTCAACATGTTCAGCATCTTATAAATGTCGATACGTTTCGGCCACGTTTGGGTGATGATGTCACTCGAATGTTTACTAAGGGGCATCTGTTGTCAGCTGCCACTCCTCACTGAAGCCAACGTTTGAACCCAATCATATGACTGGACCAATTTCAGAATAGGTAAGTACAGACTTATTTTTTACAGTGTAGTTAGAATAGGCTTAGAATGGGGGTGGGAACAGGTTTAGGCTTAGTTAGGTTTTGACTTGCCTTCTACTTTAATCTCAGTGTCTGAACTGGACTTTTCAGCTTGCCTCAGAAGGTCAAAGATCTTCCAAAATATGACAGCTACTGACATGTAAACTGCCTGCACCCAGACAAAACGATAGTAAACTGGGTGTGGGGTCAAGCAGCTTACAGGGGAGAACTGTCAGACTTCAGAGGACCTGGCACAAGCTGAAGTGTCAGTCCTAGACAAAGTCAATAAAGCTAAGCAAAGTGGCAACAATAAACCCTTCATTTTAACATTTTACGCATAGGTCAATCAAGGCTGGTTCTATTTAAATCAACTAGCATAGTTAGTAGACCTGCTTTGACAGCCTTTATATTTATACTAAAACAATACTTCCTTGAATCATTTAATTGTCTGATCCATTTTTACACACATTTAAAAAAAAATAGTTTTCAAAATCCCCCAAAACATATTTTCTGAAAGCAAACACCCAGAAGAATAAAATAGTGGTAGATTCAAATTTTTATGTCACACATTAGCACAAGTTTATCAAGTTCACAATTTCAGCAAAAAATCCACTAAAGTTAATTTTAGGGCACACAAATGCAATCTCAACCAATTTTTGGTAAAATATAAAAGATGAGGTTGTGCCAAGTAAATAGATACTCGACATTTCAAGCCTTAAAATTGAATGCAGACGTGAAATAGCAACAGGGTCTAAAAGACCCTGGATGTCTCCCCTGTGCTCCAATGAATCTAACAGTACAACACCCCGCCGGGGACACTCATTCCCATCATTAGAGCAGGACGTGGGGATTTAAAAGCTCAGCTAAGTGACCAACAGTGATGGGTATCGAAATAAGCTTTTCTGTAGGACAGGAAAAGGATCATGGGTTTAAAGAGGAAATAAACTCTGGAAATTGTGTCCAAAAATGCAGGCAGAAGGCAAAGGACTTAACACCAATATTTCCTGTGGTTTCCCTGCAGCTGATCTATCCCCCATTACTCAGTTACCATGCCTTGTTCTGTCTTTGTGTCTCTGTGTGGAGGTGGACAACGTGGTGGAGGCAAGGCTTTGCATCATCATGTTAGCACCTCATAAGAAAAGTGAGTAGCACAGTAGTGATCACCAAATCTCACTTCACTGAGACTAGCAACCACCTAAGGCATCATTTTCCTTAGATTGACACTGCAGATATAGTAGTTATAAGGCTACATGACACAGGTGGTCCTAGGCTCACTCACATATGAAGCAGTGCAATGCTATTTTTCAGGAAGAATTTGATAAAAAGGTAAAATTTTCAGGATACCATGACTATACTGCCTTTTGAGCTACATGTTCTGAGATGTCACACTTTTATTTGTACTGTGAGGAGTATTTATGTATATCTCAGAAATTAAAGATGGCAGACTACTCAGGACAAGGTCTCCTAGTGTGATTTCAAGTGGTTACAAAGACTCAAGGTTTATTACCTTCATGCATTCTATACATGAAGGTAAAAAAAAACCTGTGTGCATCACCGCCCCCCCCCCCCCTCCCCAAAGCTTACCTGAGCCCCATCCCGATCCAGCGATGTGCATGAAAGCCTCAGCTCTTGCTCTCCTAATTGGTTGAGACAGCAGAAGCAGCCACTGGCTCCCGCTATTGTCATTCATAGCCAGTGAGTCAATAGGCCAACCCGCACTCCTAAAAAAAAAAAAAAACTAGGATTGTATGTCTTTTAACCATGACCAATGCTTACCTCCCATACAAGGGCTGTGTTAACCTACACAGCGATGCACAGGTGATGTTCCATGCAGCCAGTCCCAATGATATAAAATTGGAACCAGTGGCTGTGTCCCTGCAGGTGTTGCATCCCAACAGACATCAATGGGACTGCCTGCAAGGAACACCACCTGTGCACGTAAACATGGCCCTCACACAGGGTAAGCATTGAAAAGCCCTGTACAAATGTACATGAAGATTGAGTTTAGGTCATGCTTTAGGTACAGTTGGTAGTGGTATTGGAATTAGCAAGAACTTAAAGTGACCATAAAAGGGTAATTTTAATTACATACATGCTATGGTATACTTTCATGCTTTATACACTGGTTTGGCACAGAGCAGGCCCGATCCTCCTCTTATCAGGTCCCCTGCTGGTGTTCTTGGCTCCTCCCCCCTGCTGTGTGCCCCCATAGCAAGCCACTTGCTCTGGAGGCACTCGTATGTGCTCGCTCCTGAGCTGACTCTCTGTGTTTGTAAGACACACAGAGCAACAGCTCAGCCCCACCCCTTCCCAACTGGCTGATAATGACATCAGTGGGAGTCCAATGGCTCCTGCAGCTGGTTCTGAGTTAAATGAGGAAGAGAGCTGCTGCTCTCCTGCACATCGGGGGGGGGGGGGGGGGGGGGGGGGGGGGGGGGGGGGGGGGGGGGGATGGGGTGGGGGTGTGGGGGTGGGGGTGGGGTGAGGGGGGAGGGGGGTGGGGGGGGGGGGGGGGGTGGGGTGGGGGGGGGGGGGGGGGGGGGGGGGGGGGGGGGGGGGGGGGGAGGGGGGGGGGGGGGGGCTGGATTGAGATTGGGCTCTGGTAAGTTTTAGGGGGGGCTGGGGGGAGCTGCACACTGAAGTTTTTTTACCTTCATGCATAGAATGCATGAAGGTAAAAAACATTCAGCCTTTAGATCCAAATTAACTGACTGCTATAAGTTTATCCTGTGGAACTCCCAAATGGTCTGCAATAGCTCAGCACTTTGGCTGGTAATGGCAGTAGTCTTTACACACAACTTTACAACTGTCAAGTGTTGATGATTTAACCATGGGAAGTAGCCTTTGGTATGGTGGAGAGGTACCCTTAGGTGGATTTGAATATTTATCATCCTACTTTGATCTTTAATATTGTTTAAAACAGACCTAGATTTTTAACATAATAAACATTTTTTACTGGATTAAAAGAAAAAAAAAAAAAAAAAATCACACACAAATACTTGTTAATCAAAGTTTTAATCGATAAAAGAATTTATTAAAGTGCATCTTTTCAATTTTGAGATCCAGAAGATAAAAGGAATCAAGGTAAGGCCCTTGTTATTTTTTACACCACAAATACTGCTCATCCATGTGCATAAGCATGGCAAATATGGCAGACCTCCATTTTCTAATTTCTGCAGCACATGTCTAAGTCGAAGTCAGAACCCAGTACTATGTTTGTAAATGACCCATGTGGGCAAACTATTTGCTCCTAACCACTGTAGGGCAGAAAGCGCATTCATTAAAGAGCTCAGGTAAACAACCGTATATAGGGGGGGTCTTAGATGTCCCAAATAAGCAAAGAACATTTATGTTGTAACACTGTTTGTGTAGTCTCCATGTTGCACCTATTAGGTGCATGTTATGTTCCTTACTTTAGGACACTGCCAGGGTCAATTTATCATTGAACATGTGGGCCAGTTTGGGTTGCAATCTGTGGCCTTACATCTGATCTCCATGTTGCACCTACTATTAGATGCAGGTTATGTTCCTTACTTTAGGACACTGCCAGGGTCACTTTATCATTGAACATGGTGGGCCAGTTTGGGAGCCAGGGTTGCAATCTGTTGGCCTTACATCTGATCTCCATGTTGCATATTAGTAGATGCAGGTTGTTCCTTACACTGCCAGGGTCACTTTATCATTGAACATGCTGGGCCAGTTTGGGTTGCAATCTGTGTTACATCTGATCTCAATGATGCACTACTATTAGATGCAGGTTATGTTCCTTACTTTATGACACTGCCAGGGTCACTTTATCATTGAACATGGTGGGCCAGTTTGGGTTGCAATCTGTTGCCTTACATCTGATCTCCATGTTGCACCTACTATTAGATGCAGGTTATGTTCCTTTCTTTATGACACTGCCAGGGTCACTTTATCATTGAACATGGTGGGCCAGTTTGGGTTGCAATCTGTTGCCTTACATCTGGTCTTTAACATGATCACCTATAACTGCCACACAATTGCCCCTTTAGCCCTGGTTCACACTGGTCACATCTAATGTATTTCTATGATACAGACTTAATCAGTGCGATCTGAAGTATCACGATTTCAAAAATAGTTCATGCACTACTTTTTTTTCCCGATCTCATTGAAACTTGCATTGACTTCTGTTAAATGAAGTTGCAAGCCGCAGTGAAGTCTGAGGTTCACTGATCTGCGGCTTTGAAATCAAGCTACTTCAAGCAGCAGGATTTCAAAGTTGACCAGGGCTTACACTGGCAATGTTTTATTGTAAAGCTGCAAATGTCTCTGTAATTGTTCAGCTTATGGCATGTGAGAATTCACAGCCCTGAAAATAGAAATATGTTTTTTGAAAATACAAGAGAAACAGGGAGGAAGAAGCTACCTAAATATCGATAATCTGCACTGCACAGGGTTCGAGTTGCCTGCTCATTACTGGCAGAACAAACACAAATAAAAGGAAGGGGCAAAGTATGGTGGTAACATAAATAATTACAGAGGAAACTGGAACATCTCTCATTTATATTTGAAGACATTTCAGGTAATTTGATGGCTCTGTATAGTGTAGAACCACCTTCTTCTTTTATAACCTCGAACAGAAAATAATCCTTACAGGCACAAGCATCTGTAGT